GATTCACCGAGGCGGCAGGCAATAAGAGGCGCTTCCTATGGTGCTGGTAAGACTGATCGTCAGCACACACAGCTACACTCATACGGTGCCGACTTTGGTGCCACTTTCCAGTCATTGCCGACAACATCGGCCTCATCTATTAAAGCTCCTAGTGTACCCAAACCTTCTCGCCAAGGATTATCAAATGCCAGTTTACCTACGGATATGCCACCACCATCAGATCGACTGAAAGGCTTGATGTTGGACTCTTTACCTGCGCATGTGTTCGTCGCATTGCCACAGACTGGAGAAATAGTATGGGTAAACAGTCGATATCTTACATATCGCGGTCAGACTGTATCCGAGTTATATCAAGATCCATGGAGCAGTATTCATCCTGAGGAAAGAGAGGACTATTTGAAAGCCTGGTCGCATGCAGTGAAGACGGGTGAGCAATTCTCTATGCAGGTACGTATCAAACGTTTTGACGGAAACTATCGTTGGTTCTACACTCGTGCTGTCGGCTCCCGAGATATAAGAGGTGTGATAGTTCAATGGTACGGCTCTCATATGGATATCCACGACCAGCATATTGCAGAAGTCAAAGCTGCACGACAAGAGGAAATAGAAGCGTCCGAGGCTAAGCATCGACAACTGGCAAATTTAATTCCCCAGATCATTTTTGCAGCAACAGAAGACGAGGGTGTAACCTTTGCAAACGAGCAATGGCTTTCGTATACCGGACAGGATTTCAATGATGCCTTAGGACTTGGATTTATGGATTACGTGCACCCAGAGGATCTTGCGAAGTGTCAGATACCAATCGGAAGACCGCCAACTCCATCGACTCGACCGAAGAAACCAGCCGAGCCGAGAAGGAACCCATCTCATACATCTTCGAGTGGTAAATCAGGGCAATCATCCGATCCCTCCGAAGCCCCAACCGAAAAGACTGTGAAAGGAATCCACCAAACCTTGTCGCGAAATAATAGCTCGAGCAGTAGTTCTGTGTATGAATTTGCCACAGCGGATTTGTCTGAATTGGCGAGAACTGGCGTCATCAAGGTCACCACCGATGGTAACGGGAGACTTTCTTATACCACTGAAGTTCGCTTGAGATCGAAGACTGGAGAGTATCGTTGGCACCTTGTACGATGTGTGGAAGTTGATAACATCAACCTCGGAAGTGGAGATGGTTCCTGGTTCGGTGCTTGCACTGATATTAATGACCACAAATTGCTGGAAACAAAGCTCAAAGAGGCCATGGAATCTAAGGGCAAATTCTTGAGCAATATGTCGCACGAAATCAGGACACCTTTGATCGGTATTTCTGGGATGGTAAGCTTCCTTCAAGACACCACTCTAAACGACGAACAACTTGATTATACGAACACAATTCAATCCAGTGCAAGCAGTTTACTTAACATTATCAACGACATATTGGATCTTTCCAAGGTAGATGCAGGTATGATGAAATTATCATACGAGTGGTTCCATACACGTTCTCTAGTCGAGGAAGTTAATGAAATGGTTTCCACCATGGCCATTACCAAACGGCTTGAACTTAATTACATCGTCGACGTTGATGTTCCTGAAATGGTAAAGGGAGATAAATTCCGTATCCGCCAAGTTTTACTCAACGTTATTGGCAACGCGATTAAATTCACAACTGTTGGTGAAGTTTTCACTCGATGCAGGGTATACACAGACGCTGATACACCACCGTTGGTCAACGAAATAATGCTTGAGTATTCTATTGTGGACACGGGAAGAGGATTCACCAAAGAAGAGGCGGATCTCATCTTCAAGCCTTTCAGTCAAATTGATGGCAGCAGTACGAGACAGCATGGTGGAAGTGGCCTAGGATTGGTTATCTCGAGACAACTGGTACAATTACATGATGGCAAGATGCAAGGTACCGCGGTGCCTGGTAAAGGATCTACTTTCACTTTCACTGCCAAATTCGGGCTGCCAACTGCAGAAGATCATCCAGAACCACTCACAACACCCCAATTGAGCAAAGTGCCATCATCCTCTTCGACACCCAACAATATAACGTCACAAATTGCTGCCAAGCAGGCTTCGAGTAACCCACTCTTAGTTAGCAGGCTGTTGAATTCGCCTGCACTCTTCATGGAGAGTCCAAAGACCGAATCAAGTGCAGGCTCGCCAGCTGTACTGTCGTCCAATAGCTCAGAGCCATCTGGCTCTAGCTATTCTGGCCGAACTCGTTTCACAGATCGATCTTCCGCTTCTTCTGTGAATCAGAGCCTAGCTCATTTTGGCGAGGCCGCTCGATCAAGTACTCCTGAGAACATGAAACTAGAGCTTCCCGAGAAGCACTCCCCATCACCTTCACCTTCACCGCTGCTTGAATCTACACCTTCATCGACTCCTGCAAATACTGCCTCGACCCTTCCAGAATCGCACACTGAACGTCTAAATAATGAGTTCTCACATGACTTGAAGCATTTCCGACCTCCAATGTACTCAATCTTACTCATTTGTCCGCAAACTCATAGTCGCGAGGCGACGAGACAACACATCGAAATCACTCTACCAAAAGATGTTCCACACCAAATAACCCCACTTGCAAGTGTCGAAGAGGCCAGAAGTCTTATCAGCGGAGATGATTCTGTCAATTTTACACATATTGTCTTGAATCTTGGTTCGGCAGAAGAAATAGTACAGTTGATTGATCAACTCATTGCATCGGTGAGGTTGCCTCAGACTTCAATTGTTGTCCTGTCAGATCCCGTCCAGAGACAAGAAGTTATTAAGATGGCTCAATCATACGACTACGATCAAATGGCTAAAGATAATCGTCTTACATTCATATATAAACCTGTTAAACCGTCAAGATTTGCAGTTATTTTCGATCCAGATAAAGAGAGAGATTTGAGTACTGATCGCAATCGTTCGAGTGCCCAACAACAAGTCGCCAGTCAGAAACAACATTACTTGGATGTGGGTCAGCGCCTTGGCAACAAGGGACTCAAGATCCTGTTAGTAGAAGATAATTTGGTCAATCAAAAAGTTCTCTTGAAGTTCTTGAGTAAAGTTGGAATTGCGGTGGAATTGGCAATGGATGGTGTAGAATGTACAGAGAAGATATTCTGCAAACCGCATGGATTTTATTCTTTGATCTTGGTATGTATTTCATTCTTCTCTCAAGCCACATTGTATCATGATATATCACCCCCCTCTTATCGACCATAAACTAACACTCCCAAAGTGCGATCTCCACATGCCTCGAAAGGACGGCTATCAAACCTGTCGCGAAATTCGTGAATGGGAAAGCCAAAGATCAACCACGAAAATGCCAATTATCGCTTTAAGTGCAAATGTAATGGCGGATGTGCTGGAAAAATGTGTTCAGGCCGGTTTCAATAGTTATGTGACTAAGCCGGTGGATTTCAAAGAGTTGAGTAAGGCGATGAGTTCCTTGCTTGACCCGGAGGCGGGGGATATGAGAGGTGCGTTGATGAAAGCGCCGAAGAAAGCTTCGTGAGGCGGGGAGAGATGGGGATGAGAAGAGATGGAGGGAATGAGAAGAGGCGAAGAAGAGAAAAGATAAAGGGATATTTATGAGTTGAAATGTTACTAATACTTTTGATTTCTTTCTTGAGTATCTGGTTCTTAATGAGCGGTGCATTGCTTGGCGTTTTTCACTTTCTGTTTCTTCGGCTACTCTTTTTTTTATGTCTTCGTTTTCATCTTTTCATTTTCAAAATGGGACTTGTTCGTGTAGCTGAGCGTAGGGTATTTAATGCATGGGGGATTACCACTGTGCACATGTAGAGGAAGGATGAATCGAGGGGGAGAGGGGCAAATGAATGAAGATGGATATGTAAATTATATTATGGATAATGTGGATTGCATCTGTCTGTTTGTTTATTTGTTTGTCTGTTTGTTTGTCTGTCTGTCTCTAGGGACTTTTGTTTTTGAAACATAGATAGTGTAGGGTACTTGGCTTGAGGCGATCGATATGAATCATATGATGGTAATGAATCTGCGAGCGAATATATCATGTTTTGTTTTGTTTTATGATTTGGTATTATGATGTGGTATGCTGTGTTATGTTATGTGCGTTGATGATGTGAGTCCCTGGGTAGTAAGGATGGTGGTGTGAATAGGTTGGGAAGGCAATATGGCTACCTAGGTACTATCTACCTAGATATCTACCTAGTACGAAGTAGTTACCATCTAAGTGACCACAATGGCCTTGAATATTAGGCTACAATGAAATTGGAAACAAAGTTCAAGCTAGCCTCGGGAAAAGGCTGCGGACCGCGGTGTTGAATGTGGGGAAATGAGGAGGTCTTGATTGTTACGTAATGACAAAAGGATACACGGAGTATGATGATAGGTGGGTGGACTCTACGGATAGTGCTTGGCAGGGTGTGTAAGGAGTAATTTTAATGTTTTGATCTCGATTTGGTATTTCGGGAGACCGGAGCAGATTGAGTACGGTCGTGGTTTAATCAATATGAATGAGTCGCGTCGTTAGTGGTGCAAGTTCTCTGGTGATATGGCCGTAGAAAATTCATTTGTTTGTATTGTTACGACGACGAGGTGGATGTAAAGATACAAAACAGTCAATTGATAGATTAATTGATGGAATCTTAAAGAATATCGAGATCGCGTTCAACCATTCAACAATGGTAGCCCTAATTATCACGTGAGATTTATGATGCACGGCTCACAAGCTGATCAGGGCAGCTAATCTTAGCACAATAAACTGGATTTTTCGGAGCTAGCCTGACCTAGTAAGCACTTGTTGAATCTTTTTACACTAATTCGCGCTTCTTCCCGACGAAACAACTTCCATCACCTTTTGAGACCACCACGTACAACTTCAAAATTCATCTTTACATTCAAAGAATTTTGATTCGCATACGGTTCCTCATTCATTTCGATTATCTCAAGTTGATAAATAAATTCAATTCAATTCGCATTATTGCACTTCGTCACCTTTACACATAATCGCGAGTCGCGCCATCACTTGACAACTCTTCAACATGGTTGGAGCTCGCCGCACACGCGCAGCTGGTGCCAGTCCAGGTGGTTTCAAATCACTTGATGATATTCCAAAGCCTACACGCGGCAAGGGAAAGAAAATCAAGACTGGTTCCGTCGAACCTTCAATCGAGTCCGAGTCCATCGATCCATTCATCACATCTGCCGAAGGCAATAACAATACGGAGTCGCAAAAGGCTTCATCACCTCCATCACCTACAAATCCTTCCAGAACAAACTCTCCAGATTCGCACTCACCTTCACCTACACCGGTCAATTCACGACTTGATTCACGCTCTACCTCACCACCAAAAAATAATACCACATCAAATGACGCGTCTTCGGACAACGACGTTGTTGATCAAGAGCAAAATGCACAGCGCATTGCTCATCTCGGATCCAACAGAAAGAGATCCCGAGTATCAGAGCCTTCTACCCACCAAAGTGTTGGCATTACAAAGGAAGACGCGGAGGATGATGAGCACAGGGCCAGCAAGCGTACACGCAGGCAGGAAAGCCAGGACACCGAGGATGCCGGTGTTGAGAATGAGAAGTCGACTGAACCAGAGCCTGCACCCGAGAAGAAACCCAAAGGTCGTCCTCGCACTCGCGCAAAGGCAACCCCTAAGAAACCCGCGAGCAAGACTCGTGGCGGCAAGCAAGATCCAGTTGTCCTCAACGATAGTAGCTCCGATGGTAGCTCAGACGAAGCAGCCGAGTCAACTGTATCACCTTTCCAACCTCGATTGAACTCTACACCAAAACAAGCCGCCGCGCCTTCTCCACGAACTCCTCAAAATCAGCAAGAATTGATTTCTTCTGAAGAAGATGAACCCCAAGCTGGTCCATCTACCGTTAGTCACTCAACCTCCAAACCTACACTCCCCTCCCCAGACATCCGACCGGTTCCTCAAGCCGAAGCCCAAAAGCCAGCTCCATCTTCAACTGAAACTGGCCCTTCTCCCTCGAAGCCTCGTGCACTTCCTCCTGTTGCTCGACCCATTGCTCGAGCAATTTCGACGTCGTCTATCAGGATTACACCCGGCATGGGAAAGACAGAAAGATTGCGTTTAATGATCCTTCATCCAGAGCAATCTGCTTCGCCAACCAAAGAAAAGGAGGTTGTCAAAGAGGTTACCAAGGAGATTGCTCAAAGCACAAATGATGTATGTTACAAGAATCCACTCACCAACTTGTGCCATGATACTGACATAACGAAGGTGGCTCAAAATGAGCTCAAGAAGACGACCGCTGTGGCTTCTTCTAGTGAGACTCTTTCCAAATCCGATGTTCCCCATTCAAGACGTCAATCTCCTCGGGATGGACTCGAATTGACGGATCCTTATCTAGTAGCTATTAACAAAGTCTTCACTAATCATAAAAATAAGTCGAAGGCTATGCCATCTATCGAACAAGTTACCGCGTTCCTTAATGGCTTCGATGCTCAACAAGCTTCGCACGATGGCAAGAGACGAACGGTTACTCAAAAACCCGCTCGTCCTCTGCAACCAATAACATCCAATCGCTCAGGATTTGTTGTTCCAGGTTACGGAAGTGACGACGACACTGATATGTCCGATGAGGATGAAACACCCGTCGTCCCGGAACCAAAGACACCTGAAGCACCAGTTACTCCTGTGCAAACTGAAAGTCCTCGAAGCTACTGGTGGAACCCCCTCTCTACTGTTGCCACGATGCTTACCAGCCCGTTCCGCAAACAAGCCGATGCTGCTCCAGCTCCGCTTCCTTGCAACAAGCTTGCCCCACCACCATCCATTTTCAGCCAACCACCAACCACTCCTTCGGCAGTTCCTCTCAAGCGTATGTCTCACTCAGATCGCAAGCGCAATACCCGAAACAATGTTCAGGGTCGTCTTGGTGGTTTCCAAACCGAACGTCGCCTACGACACGAGGATATTGGAGGATCACGAAACTCCAGGAGCGGTCTTTTCACCCTAGCCGAACTCAAGGAGATTCATAGAGCACAGGATGAATATGCCGCCAAGCATCAGAATAGAGGTCCTTCGATCGTAGCCAATCGGGATATTCATAAGGCCGCACGAGCAGCTCAAAGAGAATCTCAGGCTAAAAAGGCCGCTGTTGCTGATGCGGTCGAGGAAGAAACTTCTTCATTCACACATGTTCCAGCAGGCGAGAAGCGTGATGCCAGCGGCACGCCGAAAGCCCCTTGCCAGCGCTGGAACAATTTCTTACAGTCTAATACTGATTCAGATTCAGATTCAGATTCAGAACCAGATTACGGCTCTAGATGGATTCGATGCCGAAATGGTCTTTTTATTCGAGCGAATTCCACTGACAAACAATATCTATGGGGCGATCTTGGCGATGATATTGACTGGGAAGATCACTATCGCGATATCGACGCTTTTCAAAAGCAAGATATCTACAAGGGAGCAGGTGTCCAAAATCCACTCAACTCAGCTCAGCTTCTTGAGCAGGCTACTTTGCGTGCTAGGGGAGATCCCGATATTCCAGACGAGAGCGAAAATGACTATACTTATGTCATTGATGAGCGCCAACAGAGATGGCTCTTTTATCCACGAAGTCCCTACGACAGGTTCCAAGTTCCAGGTAAAAGGCTTACCGCTACTCATATTGCGAATATCAAGGAAGGACTTCCTCTTCTTAACCCCCGCGATGAATACGGAATTGCTATTAAGGTACCTACTGGTGAGCCAGGCGACAATATTTTCAACCAATTGGCAGAACAGCAAAGGAGAGCTCAGTACAAGGATGCCGTTGAAATGAAAGCAGGCAGAACTTTGGAGGCAAAGCGATGGACTCAAACTCCTCCACCAAAACCCAAGCCTGTCAATGCCAAACTTCCTGGTACTGTTGAGAGCACCCCAGCTCCAATCTCCGAGGCTGTACAACACGCCATGAAGAAGGCCAACAAATACTTACCCACCAAGGGCAGTGGTCTTAGACAAGTTTCCACCATGAGCCCTGTCCAGACTGATCAGGAGAAGGGGTTGAAGGCTGCGAAAGATTCCAAGCCTATGTTCAACTTTGATTTCACCGCTGCATCCATTGGCTGGAATGCTGACCCTTTGGTTATGGCGCGTGTTCAGGAGCGTCTGGGTGAAGGTTACATCCCAATCACACCCATGCCTGATCACATTTGGCATGAACATGATGATCTTCAACAAGGTCCAGTAGAGCAAGCAGTTGCAGCATTGCTCGAAGGAATTGACTCCAGAATGTTTGGATCTATGCATAATGGAATCCAAGACCCATCACGACCCCAACCCAAGTACTGGGACGAGCTTCCAGAAAGTCCCGTTGCTGAACGCCCCATCAAATTATGGTAAATTTTCGCGGAACGTAATCCAGTCTTCACGTTAAGTGTCTGTCTCCCAAGACGCTTAACTTTCAAATTGAACCTTACATCAATCATTAATTGAAAACGCTCCTACTTTGGTTGCGGGGCTCTCCCTTGATGGTTCAAATCCATCATCAGGCATGCGAGTCGCCTTGATACTTTTGATTTGGTTCAAGACTGGTTACATTCTTGCTCGATTTATCTGGTTTATAACGTTGGGTGCGTGGTGCTGGGTGGTTGTGATACATTCTCATGATTGATTTTCTACTGTTTGAGTTTTCAATGGGATAGTCAATGATGGCGGGCGCTTCGGGATATGATCGAGGCCTTTCTTTTTTTACGATGATACGATCGATACCCTTCTTTTTCGCTCAAAGATACACCTTTTGCACATGTCAGATGAGTGAGTTACATACTCTGACAATGTGCCCTTTCTACAAAAAAATTTCGTCTTTTCGACACTACCAGCAAGATGGATTTTCTCATCGGCACATTAATTTTACATCTCGTACACATTTACAACGGGATATCGAAACACCGGATACGATTGCTCAAAGGTGGGTTTGGGAGGTGGCTCCTCCTACCCATCTTGTTTCAGTCTATCCTGCGTTTTTTCAATTTGCGACACTACCAGCAAGATGGATTTTCTCATCGGCACATTAATTTTACATCACGTACACATTTACAACGGGATTATCGAAACACCGAGAATACGATTGCTCAAAGGTGGGTGTGGGAGGTGGCTCCTCCTACCCATCTTGTTGCAGTCTATCCTGCGTTTTTTCAATTTTCTCACCGTTAATGTTTACGAGATTGAACATATCAACATGAATAGTAGCACCCATACACATGCCGCGAAGAACATTGAAAGAATGAGAATGGCAGTCATTGATTTCTCTAGGATGGGATCTCCCAGAATCGGGTCAGGATAGTGAGATCCTCGTACTTGATTGCTGCTGCCTATCCGACTTTCTTTATTCCGCTTTTGTCTCTGCGGAAGCTACGTATCATGACTATTCGGCAGCGATTGTTTATTATATGGATGGATAGCATTGGTGACTCTAAGTTACAAGAATGGATTATGGCATTGGAGTTTGTTGAATATAAGAATGGGTGATTGAAGTGAAGGCGTATGGATGAACGAAGGGATATTTAGAAGATAGTCGACAGTAGTGCGTTTTGTGCACTCATTTCTTTGTGTATTACACTGTGGGGACGTCCCCCCACGGTTGCGTTTTTTTTTTTTGTATTACACTGTGGGGACGTCCCCCCACGGTTGCGTTTGTTTTTTTTGTATTTCACTGTGGGGACGTCCCCCCACGGTTGCGTTTTTTTTTTGTATTACACTGTGGGGACGTCCCCCCACGGTTGCGTTTGTTTTTTTGTATTACACTGTGGGGACGTCCCCCCACGGTTGCGTTTGTTTTTTTGCATTCCATTATGGGGACGTCCCCTCATGATAGGTCTGCTTCATTTCCTTTTTGCGGTTGTCTTTTTTGGTCCGATGTCACCATGCAATACGCAAAGCTCGGGGAACCCGAGTTCAGATTGTTACCTACATAAAGCAGGCGGTGGATTGATATGAGGGAAATGCGCCTGCATGCAGTCTTGTTACTGCCTTTTGTTTAGGAGTTTGATATTGGCAGGGTAGTTGATTGTATTCGAAGAGGTCTATAGTCTGCTGGACGCAGTGGATTGTGGATTCTTTACGTTTCAAAGGGTTACGTACATGCTGTATCAGTATTTGTGTTTGGTTCTCTTTGGCATAGCATTGAGATGGAGTTTGTCTTTCTTGGTATGGGCATTGGGCATGGTATGGAGCATAGTATATGGGATTGCATAGAATTCTAAGCATGGTTGGTGCATTAAGTGTTGCCTCCTTTTGCATTACAAGCAAGTTCTCTAGAGAGATACCATGAGTAGACGACAAATGATTTGTACATACTGTCTTTACTGGTTTCATACGGAAAGCAAAGATGGATGGGATTTTAGGGGATGGGATGGAATACAAAGGGAAATGTTTGGTCGGCCTTTAGGGCGCGTAAAGAGTAATTCGTATAGGATACAATGAATAAGTCAAAAATTCAAAAATTCAAGAAAACATCTTGATCTTTGTGCTTTTGTAGGTGTGTATTGTGAATGTTTGGTGCTGGGATTTGGTGCTGGGATTTCTGTTTTCGAATTGTGATGGAGTGGTGAGATGAAGTATGATGGCGAGGGGTTCAGTAGTCCTTTCGGGCTTGTGATGTTGATGTGCTTTATGAATGCTATGTGGTATTGTTATACATGGTCAGTGATCGAGTTTCTCTTCAATGCTAGGGATGGATTGACCATTCTACCCCTTGGATCTTGATCGATCTTGCTGGCGGCTGAGTTGACTTGAGTTTGAGCAGGAGCTTTAGGTAGGGTTTCATGCTTTTTGTGTATGTTGTATTGTTGGATTGTTGGATTGTTGGACTGGAGATGGGATGGTAGGTGAAGGTTTGGTGGTTGGTGGTTGGAGGTTTGGAGGAGATTGAGCTCTTGGTTTGGTTTTGGTTGGTCGGGTTGGTTGTTGTGGATGGAGAAAGGGAGAGGGGAGGGGATGGAGAGGGAAGGGGGGAGAGGGGTAGAAAGGGGTTGAGAGGGGTGGAGAGAGAGAGAGATGTGGTGTGCGTGTTGGATGAAGACATTTGATGTCTGCGAGGTGGTCAGGGGAGTGGGAGAATGAGGGAGAAGAGAGGAACGAAGGGGAATGAGAGAGTTAGTCGACAGGGGGAGGGAAGGAAAGATTGGGATGCACTCTCGGGAGTTTGGAAATCACGTGAGTAGAGGATGTAAAGAGTGCAGGAAGGATAGTAGAGAAAATAGAGTATATAGTTCTAAGTATGACTCTCTACAGGGTATAGCAGGAAGCGTAGGATAGAATGTGAAGGTATTCCGAGATTGGGAAAGTGTACTAGCTAGTTGCAAACATTAGGTTTTGGATATGTGATACTAATTTTTGCTGGTTCCTTTTGTTGATGTATTCGAAGAATTGTGTCTTTTGATAGATATCTGGGATTTTGCAGGGGAGGGGGGATGGTGAGGGATGGATTGTGGGGGATGGTATGAATGGTATGTATGGAATGGTAGGTGGGCTGGTAGGTTGGTAGGTAGGTATGTGACGTGTGGATGGATGGATGGATGGATGTGGTTGACTTGTGAGTTGTGGATCATGGGGATTCTGGGTATGGGTATGGTGAGAAGAGCTTGGGTTGGGTGTGGATGTTTGGATTGGGAGGAGGAAAGGGGGAGGGATTGGAGAGGGGATTGTTTGGCTTTATTGCTGGCTGTGGTTACTTTTTTGATCGACGTCACAGTGTCACTTATGCGAAATGCATGTGTTTTCTGATGATGTAGGATGTTGGATGTTGGATGTTGGATTTTGAGGGTTGAGATTTGGGATTTGGAATTTAGAATTTGGAATTTGCGTTTTGAGATTTGAATTGGTTGTTTAGGGCGAATGATTAGGTTTCAGTGTAGATAGTTTAAGTTAAGTAAGCCGAATCTGTAGGGTTTGAGTGCATACGACTCTAGAGGTGAAAACTTGATGTAGCAATCGGTTGGAAAAATATCAAAGACCCATATGATTGAAAAGCCTATAGAACTCTGTAGTGAATTCTATTATATGGTAGTAAATATAGTTTGAACAATACTCTTATGTTTAGACGATGTCGTTGATACTAAGATCTCAATTCTTGAAAAGACTGTTGATGTTGAAATACTACATTGATGTGATGAGAAATGGCATTGCAACTTGAGAAGACGGGATCTCATAACCATAGGTGGCATGTCGTTTTCCTGTTGCCTTGTTCATAGAGATATACGGAACTACCGCCGTGTCGGTATGGTGTTAGCTATAGATAGAATGGAATTTTTGGGGATTTACCACTACTAATTGTACCGCCTGTGAAGTCTTCAGGTTTTCTACGCACACTAATAATATTGATCATTATAGATCGTCATACCCAGTCATTTAATGAGTGCAAACATACAATAAACACTCTCCATCTTCGCATCCCACATGCCACATCCTCCGGCATCAGCGGCATAGGAGCATCTTCACAGCATTCAAAAGACTTAGCTCAGGATCTGGGGTGCTCGGTGGGGGTTGAAATCCGGGAAAAGAATTCATAAATAGTTATCCTATTGATTCTTTGTTCTAAAATTTCAAACTCGTCACTTATTGGACTCAAACCATCTCATCTTTGTTCTAAAAGTACCTCGAGCGTACCTCGGGGGTATATCATTCATCCATCCAAACAAAGAATCACAAATCCAAAATGATATATGAATGGGTAGACGGAGTGAGCGTCCTGGTTCGACGACAAAGAAAGAAGATATATTTTAGGATGCTGTTGAATAAGGATAAAGAAAACCATATGATTTAGAGTAATCAATCCAAAAAAGCCAAACAATTGGTTCGAGAGAATGGAACAAATGGAACGGGTAATGGGAATGGAAATACATCAGGAGATTATAAATAGGCCGACTTAAAGGTGCAATCTACGTGGCGAAGAACTCCATCCGATATATACATAAAGGAAATGGAAATCTAGAAAAAATCCCGAGAAATAGAATAAAGAAGACTTAGTCACCACGTTGTGTAGAGGTGAAAATGTGTAAAAAGATTAATAGTTAAAAGTGTTTGGATCTTCTAGGGTTTTTCTATTCTTCTTCTCTCGATTTTAGCAAACACGGATTTTGATCGCATTTTATTATTATTCATACTGAGCTGAACATCGACCTGCAAATTTATCTTCTTTTTTTGCTTTCAGGGAAAGAGAAGTAAGGATTTGAGCAAAAGTATTCTGTCTCTTATTGTAGGCATTATTTGAGTTGGGCATAATCAAAGAATGAAATACTATCAAACGCCATTATTTCGTCTACTTACAATCTATTCGCAAGCTTTCAAATCTGAAGCCCAGAAAAGTAACCAAAAAACTATCAATCATGAAAATCACACATACAACCTATAACGAGGTACGCGGTGGAGCAACTAGTCCAGCTCCCCCCTTATCTCGCAGTCCCCAGTTCATAACCACACCTACCGCCTTCCGCTTCGATACCAGTACACCTCCACGCTTCGAAAGTCCTAATCATTCACCTTCTCCGCCTCCCAGTAACCCCTTGGTACATACCACCCGTCGACTAAAACGGTATTTGAAAAGCTCCTTTCGAAACCGGACACGACCTGTAAGTCGGCGACTTTCGCGGTCGAGACAGGGGACTACTATACGATATCCCCCTGGGGAGATGCATCCACCGACCGTTCCGACGCAGGTTGGCAAATACCACAGCGGGAGTGTGCGCGGGAGTTTTTCATCCAAGGGAGGGGAGAGGATGGTGGAGGAAAGAGGAAGTCAGAGTTATGAGAGGGGGTTGGAAACGCGATATAAGCATGCGAAGGGGAAGAAGCGAGCGAGTTATTTGAAACCGAGAGAGGAGGCGAGAGTTAGTTTGGGGGAGTGGGGAGGAAAGAAGGGGATGGCAGGGTTGGATTTCGAGAGTTATATGAAACAGCAACGGGGATTGGAGAGGGATTTTGGAAAGGGGTATAATGAGGGGAATAGTCCTCCTAGTTCGTCGAGTTTGAATATTCTGACGGGGAAAAATGAGAGGGGGGGGAGAAATGGGAGTCCGCCGAAATTTGTACCGAGAGAAGATGCAAGGGGGAGGAATGTGACTGGGGAGAAACTGGGAGTAGCGTATGGAGGAAAGACGCAGTTGGATTTCGAGAGTTATATGAAACAGCAACGGGGATTGGAAAAAGATTTTGCGAAGGGTGTGGGGTATGCTGGGTATAGTCCTAGCCCTCCGCAAAGTCGTACCGGATCGCCGCATGCGGCATTTCCGCGCGGAAATGCAAATCATTCGCCCATTCCGATACCGCCGCCTGCGGGATATACGTATGAAAATAGGACGGGAAATACGAGTCAGAGGGATAGTGTGAGGTTTTTGGATGTGCAGTGGAGTAGTGGGGGGAGTGGGGGGAGTGCGACGGGGACGACTGGAACGACGGATAGTGGGAATGTAGCGGAGAGTTCGAGGGGGAGAGGAGCAGGAGTGACGATGGGGAAACATAAGGCTGCGCCGGGACAGAGATTAAAAAGGAAGGGGAAGTTGGAAGAGAGAGATCATAGTCCTGCGACTACGCCGGCTAGTTCTCGTTCGCAGACAATCAGTAAAGAAGATGAGATGGCTGGTGATGAGAAAAGACGCCAGGAAATGCATCAGGATAGTACGGAAGAAGTAACGAGCATGGAACAGTTAGAAGCGATGAGAGCGGCAATGTGGAATGGAAAATTGGAAAGAGTAGTCCCACCCAGTTCTGAAATACCCAAACACGCGGATTTGCTACATCATTCGAATCCAAGCTCGACTTCGAGTCGAGGTAGTAAAAATAGTAAGAATAGTAGAGGTACTGGAAAGGGTAAAAATGTAGAGCGGAGAGCAAGTCCGATTCAGAAGTTAAAAGGGTATATGGGACAGAGTCGCGATGTTGTGCATGATTCTCATGAGAAAAAGACATCTGCGAAGGGAAAGTTACCTATTCCATTTGAATATTTGTTGTATCCGAGTTACGAGGGAAAGAAAAGTCAAAGAGAAAGTACAGAATTGAGGAAAAACTCAAAGTCAAAGGGAAAGGGCAAGTCTAAAGAAGAGGAAGATAGCGATGATGACTTCTGGGGATGTGTCGGCGAAACACATAACGAGAGTGGGATACTGCTTTCTCAATCCCCTGCCGTCCCATCAGAAAAGTCTCATCAAAACTCCATTCCATCCGTGGCCGAACTCCCCAAGAATCGCAAACCGAGCGAAGATTCCTGGAACACGCATCTACACGATCTCTGTAAGCTTTGTCGGAAACACGAACGAACTAGTTCTCGCGGTCTCTGCCATTCCTGCGAAGCAAATTTTCTCAATACAAAAGCGTGGGAAGAGACGACTCTGCAGTTTGATAACGATGATATTCCTCCTACGCCACCTCTGAAGGATCGGAGAAAGATTGCTAGAGTGCGCGATATGCTGGCTACGACGCCTCCGAACTATGATGTTGAGTATCGACCGCCTGTTCCTCCGAAGGATGTTCCCGGGGAAGAGAGAAAGAAGATTCATGTATCGAAAGTTGAGCATAGTCGACCGCAGATTGTGAATCCGTCGCCGGTTAGACAGGAGAGTCAGATGTTGGTGTATGGGGGAATGGGAGATAGTCCGAGGGATATCGAGGTGGGGTTTCCGGAGTGGCAGACGCATAGTTTGCGAATTGAAGGGGAAAAGACGGAGGAGATGTTTAAGAGGTGGTCGCAGAATTATAGAGGGGATGGGTCGGAGGAGAGGAGAGATGAGGATGAGCGGGGAAAGGAGGAGGGAAATATGGAAGAACCGAGGGATAGCGTTTTTTATGATTTTTGGGGGGATATTTTGAAGGATGATAGAAGACCTGAAACACCGGTATTGGAGGAGAAGAAAGCGAACCCTTGAACTTGAGCTTGAATAATATGGTAGATAATTTATGTGTGTATATGAATAATGGATCTCCAGTACTTTTTTAAACGATTCTGTGTTCGTTGAAAAGGCAATGATTTGAATATCCCACTTGCGGATCTCTTTAGTAGAACCCCGAGTGTTGTGTTGATCACAAATCATTGAGATGTCTCACTTGAGATACTCTGGACTTTAAGTTTGAAATATTGCAATCTAATTTGAGATAAAATCCTGACATCAAGTATTAATGGGCTTGCAAAACTTTGGCATTCCTCTCTATAAAATGATCATTTCCTTAACTTTTAGTACCCATTAACTAATGCACATGACGTTCATGATCCCCCAACTGGTCCTTCTCCACCTGGTACCAACTACTCTATTATCAGCTTTTGACTTTTCTCATGATGCGTAAACCAAGACGCGGAAAGATACGTACCATAGCAATACCATTACCGTTCAGTAGAATCTTAGGAAGTTTTGTTTGGCTTCCAGATTGGTGGTCACTATGAATATTTAGTATAAATTCAAGAGGTCCATAGAGCGAAAAGATACGTACAACTCGATAACATCTTCCAAAACCATATTGACATAGTCATCGAAACCAGTGAGTGTGCCGGTGAATTCTGGTGATGTGTGAGTACAGGTTTTGGAAAGAGGTGATGATAGAGGTAGTACCTTTGTCACCTTTCATGACTACCCAGATTTTAGAACCGACACATTTATCGATGAGTTCTAATGATGTGTTAGTTTGTGCGTGTGTTTGCGGGGAGATAGAATGACTGACCAAGAGGGAGAAGTTGGCTGGCCATATTGGATGACTGGTTTGAGGTATACTGATCGGAATGATTAACTTGCAAGAAAGTTAGTTTTTTGTATGAAATTAAAATGGCTGCGTGGTAGAGATTCAATACAGCGAATCTTTGTGGTAATCCAGGTCTAGCATTGACTGTGATTCCATATGGAGGGGCAATCAATCAAGGTAAGAGCACGTGAGGTTGACAGCGCAGGATAGAAAGATTTAACTCACAGTTCAACACCACAGGAAGATATTAGAAACCGTATCACAGAGTTCGTATTATTTGACCGGATAATGGTTTCGTTGTTTGTTTCTTTCCTGTTCGTCTCAAAATCGCATAAACCTCGTGATTCTCCAACTAACAGGCAAATTCATCTTCAAGCCTCAGGCATCAATTTCGTACGGTTTCCTCTCATCAACCTCTGGGATCAACGATTGGTGTACATCTGCCTAGTCCTCCACTCCTTCGTAGGACCACAACTCTCTATACAAATGCTCGTGTCATGCTCCCCAGTAATCATGGAGCATATACGGTGGGAAAATCACTTCGGCGCCCCATTATGAAGAATATAACTTCCTTTATTGGGAAAACCAATTTGTTTTCTGTAGAAGCAATGGGCTCGGCAATTGGAGGCATGAGTGGAAAGAGAGCGAGGTATGTTTCGAGCTATACACTGGAACTTCTGTATTTTTGAAGCTGATATGTATTTCGCAGTCCCGTGGTGACTCGATCAATCTCATCCAATTCCTCAAAGACATGGCAGCCAAGTCATGGTATCATCTTCAAAGATGTTTCTGCGCCGGGGTCACTGAGACATTTGAGTACAGTCTCTGTGGCAGAGAATGAACAGAATCTAGAGTATCATTCATACGCCGAAGATAGTTATGTTTTGGCAAATGCGCACGTTGAAAGCTCGAAAACTCAGAAGGTGGCGACAGTGGCCCAGGAAGAGAGCTTGGAGCCTGGGACAGCAGCAGATGTTCAAGAGGTAGCGGATGGACAAGAGATAGCAGATGAAATCTTCGAAGATCCTGCTAAGAATGAACTTCCGATTTCCGAATCAACATACCAAATGACGGAGGAATTGTTTAAAAAGGCGAAGAATGCCGAGCCAGAGACGCCAGAATGCTACTGGTCACATACTCTATATCGTGGGCCAGAGGAGAATGGCATTCCGAAGAAAGTCAAAGTACATTATTGCCGAAGTCTGCAAACCACGGAACAAACGTTGCAACAACATTTCTTGGGCAAAAAGGTTCTGGGATTTGATATAGAATGGAAGGCAGAGGCACGCGCGTATCATGGGCCAAAGAAGAATGTTTCTTTGATTCAACTCGCATCAGAAGAGCGAATTGGCCTCTTTCACATTGCATTGTTTCCACAAGTCAACGCCTCAGAACTTGTAGCTCCAACTTTGAAGAAAATCATGGAGGATCCACAAGTCACTAAAGTAGGCGTAGCAATCAGCGCAGATTGTACACGTCTTAGAACACATCTTAATATCGATTCAGTGTCTATATTCGAGCTAAGCCATCTTCACCGATTGGTCAAATATACTCTTTCTCAGGAATACGATCTGATCAATAAGAGATTAGTTTCTCTAGCAAAGCAAGTGGAAGAGCATCTACATCTACCATTGTTCAAGGGTGGGGATGTTAGAGCTAGTGATTGGAGTCGAGGACTATCAATCCAACAAATTTCATATGCAGCATCAGATTCATATGCTGGTTTACAACTCTACGATGTACTTGAGACCAAGCGCCAAGCTCTAGACCCAACGCCTCCGCGACCATCTCATGCCGACCAAAACGCGCCTATTCCCCTATCACATCTTCCCACAGACACTCCAATAAGACGAAAAAATACTCGACGCCAGATCATGCAAGATCCCCTACCACTTGACCCTGATTTCTCGCTCGAAGATTCTAAAGCTACTATTGAAGCTCCGATTGAAGCTGCAACCAAAGCAGGAAGTGAAATAGAAATCCACGATCTCGTGAGAAAAATCACCGGTTCCGAACCACCAGTAAATATACGAAGAATAGCACCCGCTCCCGACTCTAACGATTGCGACGATTCTTCTGTTCTCCTAGCAGCCGACGTACTTACAACCTTTCATTTAGAAGCCAATCCAGAATCGAAAGTCTCACGATTACAACTCGTGCCCTACTTTATTTGGTACCATAACGCTCATCTTTCCATTCCACAGATTGCAACTCTTTGCAGCAACCGAGATAATAAGGTTATAATAAAGCGGATACTTACGGTGATCTCGGGAGATAAACTACCTTATGAAAAGCATAGATTGAGAGATCTTCTAGAGGGATTGTCTAAAAACGCGGCCTGGGAGAATTTTAGAGGATTGGTGGAGGCGGTTGATACACCGGACGTTTGTCAGGATTAGAAAGTCATCATGAGAGGCGTTTAGATTTGGAGTTTTTGATTTGGGCTTGAGAATGGAGGTATGGGAGGGAAAGATATATGATATGATACACTACTATGGTTACTGGGGCGGTTATTGTGGAATGGATATCTTATGGTCTGTTGGAGACCTTGAGGTTGGGTATATATTGGATTATGTGAATTTTGTGGATCCAGTGTGTTGAGCAGGGAAGGAATGAAATGTGAAATATGAAATGTGAAATATTCCCACTCAGATTCATCTACTCCCTTTAGATATACATCAAAATCTCAAGTGACTCATAGTTGATGGCGTACACTTCAGTCGATAGGTAGGGAAAGCAAGGATACACTTTTAACACCCACCTACTGAATCAATAGACATGTAACATACGCCATTTAATTTTCAATCTCCAGAGTCCCCGCAGAGTTGCAAGTTGCAACTCAAAATCTACACCAACCCAACCCATTTGAAAAAAGGTTCAAACACGGTGTTTTTGTCTGTCTGTCGAGCATTTCCTCTGTCTTTCTGTCTGTCTGCATGAAATGAGAATAGTCTGTCTATGTTGCTACAAGGGACCATTAAGATGGTTACCAGGGTATTTATATTGATTTCCATCCTTCAATTCTTCACTTCTTCAATTTCTTAGGATGGATAGGAGGTAGGAGGTAGGAGGTAGGAGCTAGAAGTCTCAAGATTATTATAAAATGAAATGAAATGAAATATGAAATATGAAATATGAAATGATTATGAAACGAAACATGATATACAAGATATAGTGAATATAGAAGGTTGTATATAGTACACTTAAGCATTACATTTACATTTACATATACATTATATAACTTATACCGACTGTATAATGCATGATTAATGAATCGATTTCAGATATCGTCATGCCTATTCCTATTCCTATTCCTATACAGATTTCAGATTTCAGGAAATAACCTTAATGATTATAATATCTGGGGATATCGATACTTATTGCGCATTGTAGGTGCTGATTTGGAACTTGGAAGGGGAGTTTATTTTAAAGGCTGAATGTTGTGGTGTGCTGTATTGTATTATATTATTCGATACATGAAAATAATTTGTATTCATCAACTTTGACGTCGGTCACATAACATATTCTTTCTTCTTTTCTTTAAACATATTCATTCATTCATTACTATCTTGATTTTATTTTATTTTACAAAGCTTCTTCTGCATATACACAGTAGAAATGAAAGTAACAAAATTACAATTATATGTTAGTTCCTAAGCGCAAGTTCCTGATATATATACACAAATACACATAACCAGCAGCACACACAACACCCTATCCGTCACAAGACCATCTTATAATTTCGATTCATTAGTCCCATCGCCATTAACAGTCGTAGCATGACTCCCCTTCATCGGCGCCCCATTACTCTCATTGTGACTCAAACTAATTCCCTTCATCATATTCGCCGTTCGGTTCTTAGGATCCTTCGCCATACCATTATGAGTACCGCTGAAATTCATATCCGCGATACCTGGATATCCCTTGATACCCGTTGCTTTCTCAAGACGACTAGCTAGATCCTCGGAGACTTCGCGGAAAATGGCAATTTGGCGTTTAATAGCTTCTTCCTTTTTGCAGTTCGCCATGTGGCCGGAAATGTTACTGATGAAACGATCTTTGGCTCCATCATCGAAGACCTTCTCCCACAAGGCTCGTGGGGCTTTAAAATCTTCCTCGCGGATTTCAGAGAGGAAAGTGACAGCGTTACCGGTGAAGTGACCGTGGAGTTTCTCAGTATCGACTGTGCGTTCTCTGAAGCGGATGGGCTCGATAGAGGAGATGTAGTTAGGACGAGATCCCTGGTTGTAAAAAGCCATACCACCATCACGCTGGAAGTTGCCCATGCGGTAACTGGTGCGAGGAGCGTTGACGGGGAGTTGTTGGTAATTTACACCTACACGATGACGATGGGCATCTGGGTAGGAGAAGAGACGCGACTGAAGGACTGGATCCGCGGAGGGCTCGAGTCCTGGTACCAAGTGAGCGGGATTGTAAGCCACTTGTTCGATTTCGGCAAAGTAGTTAACTGCGTTCTCGTTGAGAGTGAGCTCTCCAACCTTGCGGAGTGGGAATTGCTTGTGTGGCCAGACGTGGGTAAGATCGAAGACGTTGATCTTTTCTTTCTCCCATAAGTCCTCGGCCTCCTTGGCTGTCATAGTTTGAACTTCGAGACTCCACTTTGGAAAATCACCCTTCTCGATTGCCTCATAAAGATCCTTTTGGGCGTAGTCTGGTGATTTTTCAGCAGACTCTTCTTGAGTGAAGAACTTAGTTCCTTGTTGAGAGATCATGTGGAATTGACAGTACACCCATTCACCAGCCTTATTGACAAGCTTAATGGTATGTCCAAAGTATCCATGCATGTGACGCCAGCCATCTGGAATGCCACGATCACCCATAAGAATCATGACTTGATGAACTGATTCTGGGTTCTGAGAAAGGTAATCCCAGAACATTGTTGAATCATCAGCGTGTGTGAGATGGGTGGCTGGATCACGCTTCTGAGTGTGAATGAAATGAGGGAACTTGGCTGGATCTCTCAAGAAGAAAACTGGTGTATTGTTGGCAACCAAATCCCAATTTCCCTCCTCAGTCTTGAACTTGACAGAAAATCCTCGTGGATCACGAGCACAATCATGCGAACCAGATTCACCACCAACAGTGGAAAATCTGACAGTGATTGGACACTCCTTGCCTTCTTGAAACATGTCTGCAAGACACAAGTCATCCAACCCATTTGTAGTTTTGTATACACCGTGAGCTCCACCACCCTTAGCATGTACAACACGCTCTGGGATTCGCTCGCGGTCAAAATGTGAAAGGAGATCGATCAGGTGAAAGTCTTGGAGGAGTAATGGTCCATTCTCGCCTACGCGTTGTGTCTCATATGGATGTGGCATTGGTACGCCGTTGGCAGTTGTATAAGTGACATCCTGAGACTTTGCACTTCTATCATCATGATAGTCGCGATATTGATCACCGGGAGCCTTGCGGGAGGACATAATGAATTATTGTGAAGATGAAATTGTAAATAATGGAAAGTAATTAGAATGTACAGATAGTAGTATAATGATAATAAACAAACAATCTCTAGACTCAATGGATAGATCCTGCCATATATGTACCGTGACGGCATTTTGCCTCGTACACCAAGAATCAATGACTTCATGACTTCATGAATGCGGGATGTGCAACAGAAATTCCTTGATTGGCTAAAGAGCATTAATTGGAATTGAGACCAAGCAAAATGATGCTTTTAGCGTTGACGCTTGCTTGCAATTCATGGAATGCGGAGACATTAGCCGCTAGTGATGAGGTACAACCATGATACCAACGATCGAGAACCTTTTGATTTCCAAACAAGAGTTACATAATCTGCCAGATCTTGGAACATTTTTAACATTCTTATTGACGCCTCTACACCTTGGAACAGAGCTATGCTGAATGCTCCAGTGTTCCTCAACAGTGGCCAACTCTACGATTCGTCAGCGCACTGTCTTTTTCCAAGCAAAGAACCTTATTAATAAACCGCAAACCGCAAATTCGGGATGTACACAGGAGATACTTCGCCTTCATCTAAGTAAGTTGAATTCATAACTGAGTGATGTACCGGTCGGTACCCGTGAGACTAATCCACTCTTCCAAGGTTCTCCTCAAAAGGTGGCAAAAAGGACGCGAACTCCCTATGAAAAGAAGAGCCTTCAAGATCGTAATCACAATTCCCATCCACAAGACGTTTCCGATATGGCGAATTCAAAGCCATCGTGTTAAACACCAAGCAACTCTTAGAAACTGCAAATAGCAAAAGAATACGAGTACGAATAAAGAAGGTTGAATGATACCTAATAATGCACTGGCTGTGAGAACAGAGAACAGAGAACAGATTTGGATTTTCCAAGCCTCATCGGAGATAAAACTCAAATTCAGATGTGGTGGCGAACCTTCCCCAGATTCTTGTAGATCGGGTGGGGCAACGTTAATAAAAGCATGATTTGATTAGGGTTAGTCAGCATTAACCTTATGAACATATACATATACATATACATATACATATACATATACATATACACATACATATACATATATACACATCCATCTACTGCCACCCTCACTCACAATTCACTTCAATATACCCGAGAATAGAAGGAGAGAACAATTTAGCTGCAAATTCTTCTCTTATTCCTATTCAGTACCAATACTTGACCAAGTAATCACCCCACAACCCACAGTTTACCTGCGATATCAAAGAAAAGGCATCATAGCTTCACATTCGACGACTACATCTATCACATACATCTCATAGAGGCAACAGCTCACAATTGTACACCCAAGCTACATCACCTACACAAGTCAAATAGCAACCCAGTCGGTACTTCTGACCTAGGTGCATATATTAATAACCCGTTTTCTCAATACCAATGAGTTTACGCAATGAGAGCCATGGGAAAGATTTCTCTACACATTTTTAATCTCACAACTTCTCGATCATCTAATGTAAGGTTAATTCCCCTCCTGTGTGTGTACTTATCATCTTCTAGTCGTGATACATGATTTTGATTGCTTATTCTATTTGTTCTGTACTCCACACCAAGGCTTAATGGGAACACTAAATGATGCCTACTCCTATTGTAATAGTAGTATCTTATATATGTGTCCTCATGATACTTTACAACTGTCTTTATCATAGCGTGTTCCACCATAATAAGTATGGCTGGTAAAGGAGTTTTGTTCCAGTGAAGCTCGACCAATCACGATTAGGGTATTTTGGCACCAACCAACGTAGTGAATTTGCTAACAAAGTAGCCAAAAATGGTGCCAAGCTTCTGGTATCTTTTCCTATATAAGGAACCTTTACCTCCTTATCTTTTCGTCTTATTTTTATTTCCTTTGCAAAATGGTATTGTTGGTATCTTGTGATACCAAGAAGGATTAACTTTGGAGAAGCATGTAAGTACAA